GCTGAAATCACAGATTGGCACCCACGGGTAGGGTTTAAACACACCTATTTTGGCACACCTTCATGCTAGATTATACCCATGAATAAAAGAGAAGGGTTAGATGTCAGCTGGTTCCAATTATAGGCTTCCCCTTTTCAAAATTAGTAGCCAAGCTGTGTCTCACATGGCTGTCACTTTAAAACATAGTTGGCACTGCAACACATTAATTTATGAAGAATGTGTAACAAAAGGACACAGTATCAAAAAAGCAAACCCATTTTATCCACTCAGAGGCATGAAAGGTTTCAGATTTTTTCATGACCTTTCACATTTTCTAAATGCAGAGAAAAAGGCAGGAGAAAGTTTCCTTGCAGAAAGTCATTGTCCTTGTTCTGCCCATAAATTACATGGTTACTTGGCTCAAACTTGGACCATTATGCAATTTATACCAGACTCTGGGCTGCTCTGTGTTGCATTGCCTGGTGTTAAACACAGAGGAGCTGTTATAATGATAGTTTAATTACAAAGTGAAATGGCGTTTAAGGGTAAGATCAGGCTGAATATTTGATTTGTCACTCCAAATACTGCTCCATCAGGCAGATCATAATTAAAACAGAACTTTGCATGCATTATACAGGGAGAACTAGACACGTTTTAACAGCAGTTTAAGAAATCTCCTTGTCCATAGTAAATTCTTGAAAAGCAATATAACAGAAAGCATCAGCAGTAATTAAAAAAAAAGAACACAGATAATTAAATAAAACAGTCTGTGTTCTTTTAAGTATTTAAATCTCCAGCAGGTAAGCATCTTATGGATTCCATGGAAGCTTTCTCTAAGGACTCCATGGTACACTCGACTTTGGTATCAGCTATGTAGAAATCCATACTCCCCTATTTCTCAATAAAGACTTGTTTACCAGACTTTGTAAAGTCACAATAACTCACGGTTACCAGGAGAAGCAAAGGATTTAGTAATTTAAAAAGAATAAATCAGCACAGAAATGTGAGCCATAAAACATATGCTTCAAAACACCCCAATATCATTCAGTCTTGACAAGTCACAGGTGACAATGCTTTAAGAATGTTGAGGGCTTGATCTGATGCTTGATTATCCAAGGTAAAATGTTACATTTAAATGTACAAGCAATGAAAATGGGAGCAGAAGGCATTCATTTAGAAGGCTAAAAATAAAAGAACAAAGTACCAACCCGTAAGATGACATTAAATTACTTCTCAACCATACTTGAAATGATTGGCTTGATGTTTTTTTCAATTAGCTATGAAGTATCTGCCACTAGTCAAGGTCTACAATAAATTGTTCGCAGTATTCCAGAGGTAAAGTAACTGTCCAGCTTCACTTACGGGATGGGAGAAAACCAGTATACCACATAGCAGATCAGAACTCTGTGTCATAACTGTTTACTTCAGCTGCTTTTTGATTCCCTGGAAAGAATGCAATTTTCCTACCGCACTGAAAGACTAGGTTTCTCAGATTCCCCCATAGCACTTCTCAGGTCATTAATTTCATGTTTTTCAAGCCAACATGGAGTGTGCCTTGACCGGAACATTCTGAGGACATTAATAAAGTTGCAATCTCAGTTTTTTTTTGAAACATAAACCAAAACTATGTTAGAAGAACTAAATCCACACTTCCTACTGATACTTGGCAACGACTGAAAGAAGATGCCTGGGGATCACTGGGAAATCAGTTCTCTGCTGCTGGCTTCCTGCAGGAAGGACCACATGATTATCTTTAAAATGAGAAACCAGAGGAGCAGAATGTGCACCCTTTCACATATGCAAATATCATTCTGTTGATCTAGCTGAAGAAGGGATTTTATTGATGTGCCTATTTAGAATCATAGAATGGTTAGGGTTGGAAGGGACCATAAAGATCATCTAGTTCCAACCCCCCTGCCATCAGCAGGGACACCTTCCACTAGATCAGGTTGCTCAAAGCCTCATCCGGCCTGGCCTTGAACACTTCCAGGGAGGGGGCATCCACAACTTCTCTGGGCAACCTATTCCAGTGTCTGCCCCCCCTCACAGTAAAGAATTTCTTCCTAATGTCTAATCTAAACCTACCCTCTTCCAGTTTAAAGCCATTACCACTTATTCTACCACTACCTGCCCTTGTAAAAAGTCCCTCCCCAGCCCTCCTGCAGGGCCCTTCAGGTACTGGAAGACTGCTATAAGATGTCCCCAAAGCCTTTTCTCCAGGCTGAACAGCCCCAACTCTCTCAGCTTGTCCTCATAGGAGAGGTGCTCCAGTCCTTGGATCAGCCTCATGGCCCTCCTCTGGACTCGTTCCAACAGGTACATGTCTTTCCTGTGTTGAGGGCTCATCAATCCTACCCAGCACTGTGTGTAAGTCCTGCCTAAAATATCTGCAACCACCACACTACAGAGGTACTTTCTTAACCTCAATCCAACAGCAGTTCCAACCTACCATTTCACCGTACTTCACATTCTTATACTAGGATTAAAGATGTAGTAGGAAAATACATTCCTGCCTCCGAAGAAGCAGCAGGCTTTCTGTGTCCTTAGAACTGAGGGCACTTCACTAGTAACATCTGCCATGTGGGGCACTCAGATGTAAATTTGGCATCTTAGTGTGGTCAGTAACATATTACCCATGGCTTTTCAACTGTGGTAATTAAGCTGGATAGGCAATGCCAGAAAATCAGTCATGCATTAACAAGCCTCTCAAGTAATTTTTATGGCCTCAAGCCAGTGTGTCTTCTTCTGTCATTGTTGCACAAGTAACATCTATCTTGTAGTGTTCTCACCTCATTGCAAAGTAAAAGTAAAAGTAAAAGTAAAAATACTGTGAACTGAATTATTGGTAATATTTCCCAAGAAGGGTAAAAAAAAAACCCAAACAAATCTGTATATATTATTGGACCTGAAAATTTGGTAGTTAACATATGTGATAGCAAATACATTAAAAAAATTATCTGATGGTTATTAGCTGCAACAACTGAAGGTTATAAGAATTCCTCCTAAGGCACATATCAGCACAGAGAACTCAATTATCCCTTTAGGCTCCCATTGGCTTCCTCTTTAGAGTATAAGTCAGTAACCTCCCATTTTCACTTGATGATATTTCTTAACATTTGGCCAAACTATTTTCCTTTGTGGTGATCAACCAATAATAACACAAAACATTTGAAGACACCCTCTTTCACTGGTTTTGCTGCTTCAATCTATCAACGCTAGGGACCTCATCCTCTTGAATGAGACTGTTCTGTCACCAATTACTGCATGTGCCCTCAAGATTCTACTTCACTTCTGGGAATTTTGTTTCCATTGGTAAATGAAGTAGGATAGCTGAACTGCATCCTTCCTGAAACCATCTTTCTTTTATTCAAGATTACAATTAGACCGAAATACACATTCTATTTTCCCACAGCAGTTGTGCTCCTCAAGCATTTCCTTACGCTAAGAAAGCTAAAAACCAGTAATAAGTAGTTCTGAGTAGTTTCTCAGTACAGAAAAGAGCTTGGCTGAGGTCGATGACAACCAACAAATGAGGGGATATCTTCTTGCCTGTGCCATCTAAGGCCACTTCCATTCTAGCCCATGTGACTCATTTCTAACACATCATTACACTTGTGTCTGAGGTCCTGAAGCAAGGCACACCTCTGGAACATATGAGATAATCAACTAATATCCTTTATCAAGATTTAAAAATAGACTAGCACGCTCAGTTAAATTTTTTGTGCGTATACATGTATACACACCCCTATATAGATATATACATACATATATATACACACATTTATATATCTTATAGAGACGTTTTGTTACAAAATCACAATACTCTGGCCCCCTTCAGAGTAGTTCAGACCTGCTACTGCTTAATTTATTTTGCATAAACAAGGAAAAAAGTATGCTTAACTGATTTTGGTGAAGAGATAGAAATAATGGCATTTCAGATGGTAGGAGTATCAAATAAAACCCCAAAATCCTGACTGCCTTGTGTACCTATCATGTTCCTCTGGTGGAATTAGCTGTCTCTGATTCTTGACTGAGCTCCTGCCAGTTACAAACACGGGAAAGTAAAATAGCTAGCACCTCCCATGAGGTAGCTATTTTAGAAGTACAAAACCTTAGTGCATATTTGACAAATTTTCATAACTCTTTCATGATGAATCCAATACACTCCCACATACAGAGGGCTCCCCTCCTGGTGAGGTCAGCATGAACTGGACTAACAAGGACACATGGCAGCGTGTTACATACATGCCCTCCAAACCTCTTTTGTTTTTTTTTCTTATTTCCCTTAGGTTGCTTTAACAATGCTTTGAGATTCAAACCCAAAGCTTCTTTCAGTCAACAAACTTATTGTCAAGGAATTCAGTGCCTTTAAGACTTGCAGACTTGCTTGTGGACCCATTGAGCAGAATTCAGAAGCAACATTCCCAGTCTTATGCTCAGAGAACCATGGACATCTCATGGAAGAATGGAGATATTTTCATTTTTCCTTCTATTTCTAATAATTTCTTGCTTGACAGCTTTTCTCCTAACTTAAAAACAGAGGCTCAGAGTTATAAACCTAAGCAATAAGAACTAAAACAATAGTCTAGAGAGTAGAAGTAGTATCCCAATATAGCTAACAAATAAATTTCTATTACCACTAAGAAGCAACTGGATTTTCTTTTTATTTTTAAAATAGGATTCCTCTATCATATCAGAGGGCTCTGTTGCATGGTTTTAGGATAATATGTCACCATTGACATTTCTCATTTTCAGAGTCAACTGAACAGTATTAATGAAGTAAAAAGCCTTACTTGACTGGCTCCTTTGGCATCCTTTTTTACGCAGAACATCTTCTATTGAAGTATCAAAGATTAACTGAATATTTTGCAAAAGACCCTGTAATAATAATTAAAAAAAAAAAAACAAAACAAACAGATCAATTTAGGATTAACCAATAACTGGTCTGTCTCAAACCCATGCTACTGACTGGATTTAGCTATAAGTAAATATTTAAAAAAAAAATAAATTACAAGGCATTCAACCTGACACACACTGAAAAAAATTCTGTTGATAGATTTGTTACATACAATTTCAATACTATAAGCAACAAAATCAGCTATTTTCTGAAATATGGCACGATAAAAAAGTTATTAATCAGCAATGAGCTCAAGTCTCCATTTCCAGAGCACATTTTAGATTGTAGTTCTATGAGACGTTCATCATGAGGTCAAAGCCAACTTTTGAAGTTCCTGCCCCATTGCACTTCCATCCTTAGCCAGTCATTCCCATGCACCATACTTCATTGTCTCCTCAGTTGTGCTGACACGACCCTGGGACAATACTATAAAACCAAACCAATGCCTGTTTCACTTAAAAAACCCCCAAAAAACCCAACCCCCTCCCCCCCCAAAAAAAACCTCAAAAATGGAAAAAAACCCTTTAAAAACAGGTTACTTCAGGGCCCCACTTAACAGTACAGCTCTAAAATGAGTTCTATAAGCACTATAGATGGGCTAGGAAAGAAGGCAGGAATAGAGAGGCTGTAGGCAAGAGCTTCTGGCTTTCCTGACAAAAGTAGTCACCCTATGTAACCACACTCCAGCATGTCACACTCTGGCTGACAACTAGATGGCACAACAGGATGACAAAGAAAGGGATTTTCAAATTTTTGAAGCTGTATGTTCAAGTTTGATTTCAGCTGTATGTGAAAAGAAGCCACCCTTAAAGAAAGCACTTGGGCCAGATCACATCACTGTATGAGGTAGGAAGAAATTTTCATTTTATAGGAAATCCAGGAAGTTTCCAATTGCTTCATTTTAAAACAAAAGAGAAACAAAAAATGTTTTCCACAAAAAAAAAATGTCATTTGCAGGACTGATCAAAACATTTTGTTCCAGGTTGGTTTTTTGTTTTGTTTTCCTTTTTTTTTTTTAATAAATTGAAATGAAAGTTTATTCGGAATGGAAAATCAAGATACTCTGTTAGACGATGGGCCAACACCACATGTTTCAGCTCCAATAAAATTCTTTCCTTCTTCCATCTTTCTTTTTCAAACAGAATTTAATAAATTTTGTCAGGTTCTTATGACTTGAAACAATGTATTTCAACAGAAAAATAGGTCTTCAAGAAATTTACAAAGAATTTTATAAATCACCACAAAAATGTGACATGTTCAGAAGTCTTAAATCTGGAAAAGAAAGTGCATGGCTGTGTAGGAAAGCCCATAAACTGGTTTTGTGCACTTTTCCTGGCCTTAGACTTTGCTTTACCAGTCCTTTGTTTCCAGGAACCCCCAAATTCACACAACATGGATCCAGCAATGAATAAAAACACACTCTGAAGAAGTTCTCCTTGGGAACACCTATGATCCCACCAAATCCAAGAGGTACCAGGAGAACAAAACTACACCTATTGCATCTTCTCAAACTAGTTGCAGCTATGGCTTTACCTCACCACAGACCCAAGCTCCTGAAGGTTACCTACCCTGAAATGATTCTCCCGAATGGACCCTTTTGCCACATACATTCTGCTGTTCTCTGCTTTCAGCTGCTCATAGAAAGGCTCCTCCAGGATGAAGCTGTCAATAAGGTCACAGCCAACATAGAGGTTGTAGTTCTCCCCTGTTATTTGCACGGTGAGGTTCTTCCACTGTGAGTCAGCAAGGTCCACATCTTCCAGGGAAATCACGTTCTGGAAGCCATCCACCCAATAGATAAGGTCCAGGGTGTTGGCCCGGCCATTGGAAATGATCTCAAACTGCCTCTCACTGATGCCAGGACCCTCTAAAGCAAGGATAGTGCCTCTAGATTGCCTGTCCTGTCTCAAGGTGGCTGAAAGGATAAAGCCCTCATTTTGCCGTATGAGTTTGACAATCTGTTTTAATTTCTCTGGTTTACACGGAGGTATATGGTCAAATCGAATGAAACGGTATGCTGGGGTAGTGGGGTCTGGACCTCGAAACAGTTTTGCTCCAACTGTCTTTCGGTTTATGTTACTGATTTGAAGTAAATCAAAGGTAGTCTCCTCTTCCACGTCACCATCTGAAAAAGTTAACAGTGTGTGACAATGTGTCTATAAAAAGTGTTATAAGAAACACAACTCTGCACACTATACTCAGTAACTGCAATTATATGACCAATGTGAAGATCAGCAGGTTAAACCCAATACTTTCCTACTTCCACAAACAGAACTGTTCCTACTAGCATGCCAGTGAACTGTATTTTCCACCTGTCATTTTCATTTACATGACAACTCTCACCTTCTCCAGGTGTAGGTACAGATATGCTTGATTATTTAGCTAAACATATGGCTACATATTTTAGAGCACTATATAATACACACTTGCATATACATGCTGTATGTTCATCTATGGAAGCATGTAACAATGCAATCATTAAATATTTATACATATGAACAGATAAAGAAGTTGAGTCAATTTCTATATTTTGACTGACAGCTAATAAAAATCAAATTATGAGAAGCCATGTGGCCACATGACAACAGGAAGCAAGAGATCTGCTTTTTAAAGATTCAGGCCACGACAGATGTAAATGAGGACCTGGCACTGTGCCAATTTATATCCTACTTAGATTTGGTCTGTAGAGGTCTACTGCTCTACCTTTAGCTTGTTAAAATGTTCACCCCACTCAATGATTCTTTCCATGTTACTTTCTGCATGCATTTCCACTCTAAAGTATAACAGCAATTATTTCTGAAATTGTATACATTTTGATCGACAGTTTCTAAAGAAAACATTTTTTTTATATTTACTGGGAAATCTACATTTAACAGTAATAAGACATACCTACCAAAAAAAAACCCCAACAAAAAACAAGCAACTACTATTCCAGGCACTTAAAAAAAAAAAAAAAAATGTATATGATTACTTAGCTGAAGCTCAGCTAAGCCAATGCTTTACACCAACTTTTAGCTTTGGGAGTTATTATAGAGTAACTCCCAGTTAAGAAATGACAGAACTTACCTTGAGCATTTGAGGAAACCCACAGGGTTATCAACACAGCAAGCCACAACAGCCCACTCCTCTGCAGCATAACTCCTAAGAACAAAACAAAAAGAAGTAAGCATTAGCAAAATAATATTTATCAACTACAAATATTGTCATTATCTCACCAAATGCCATAAACAGAACTCTCATTATAAGCAATTTCAAAATCAGAATTTCTATCTTGTCTGATTCTTGTAATACCTATTCTGGGGTTATTCTTGATGCCAGAAGTAAAACATGACATAAAGTAAAAGGAATAGGAATTCTTGACAATAAATTCCTCTTATGCAAATGTCCCTAATAATAAAAAGGAAAAACATACAGAAAATACATGCTATTTTCTCCACAATTTTTCAGCAGCTAGCATAGGGACCACATGACACTACAGAAGATATAGCACATCAGTAGCTGCATCTTTACTTTAGAGCACAGTGTTCAGCTGAAATCCCTTGTAGGATAACAGGATCTCAGTAGATGCTGGTTCTGGGTACTAGGGGTACTTTTCAGTACCTTTTTCAGTGTCAAACTCCTTGCTCTTTCTTGTGTGTGTTTACATATATATATAGTTTACCCATTCTTACAACCCTCTGTACCCAAGAGCTAACCCCAGAGCTGGATAAAGTTACTTTTAATGTGATGCTATTTTTGCCCTGCAGCACTAGGCAGTTATAAGCCACATAACTGCATTTCCATATGTGTGTGCATTCGCAATGAATGGAGCAGACTGCGTGCACGGGAATGCGCAGACATTCATTTCCCTGGACACAACAGTCATATCACTTCAACGCTGCGCTGGCTCCACACGTTTTTGGAAGGACCCCTCCCTGGAAGCGTTCAAGGCCAGGCCAGATGACGCTTTGAGCAACCTGGTCTAGTGGAAGGTGTCCCTGCTGATGGCAGGGGGGTTGGAACTGGATGATCTTTAAGGTCCCTCCGAACCCAAACCATTCTATGATGACTCCGGGATGCCACCTTTTACTGTCAGTATTTTATTTTTTGCTTAGTACCTTTCACCCCGAGGTATCACCACTAACTTCAGTTACCGGCAAGCTCCAGGAAGCCTTTCATCTCTCAAACCCAGCGTGTCCCCGGTGGAACCCCGCCCGGCCGGCTCCGGCACAG